ATGTGTTTAGAACACATTTGGTCAAAGGGTGGGCTTTACTTGTCTCTTTGACGAGTTGTAGTGTGGTGCTACGAATGGTGAGACTTACTGATGATGCCGACTACGATGCCGGCGAAACGTCTGTGAATGTACCACGTACACAGTCCGACTTTGGAAATGATCATGCATATAATAGACTCCGGACTAGGTGCGTTCCTCTAAGTCTTCATACCAATATGACCAAGTTGCGAAAATAAGGTCAAAGAATATGCTAGTTCAGAAGAATAATAGATTCCGAAAAGCCGATTGGTATCATAAGATTCTGAGGAAACACTCACAATCAACAATAAATTCAGGATAAAGTGCAAAATGGTGAAATCTATTTACTTAAAACTTGTCAATTATGTAATAAATCAACCGACTATTCCAAGAGTATCTAAGCTGTATCTCCTAAATGCTCACTACGCTTCCCCATAATCTCAGAGGCAAAGGTAGCCTCGGAAGGTAGAATAAAGTAGGAAATTTTTCGGAAGCATATCTGTTTGTGAAGGATCTCTAATGTAATTGAGCAGCTCAACGCTTCCTTATGCCTGTACTGGGCTATTTTATTAATAGAACTCGGGGTACTCAAGGAACCATTACTCTCATTTCAACTGGCGAATTTCTGTACGAAAATGACTAAGGAAATTAAAGTGTCACTGCGAATTCTGATAATGATATTACGTTAGCTGGATGACTGCTTATCGCAATGGCAACATGTATTCACAATGTTGGAATAACTTTCATTTCATTTGGAAAGGCGAGTGGAAGGGATTCATAATTTGGCTTCGTCGAAAGCTGTAGGGAGATTGACTTAGAGCTGCGATTGTAGATTCGTGCGAATAGGTCCTCGGCGCACTTACTGCGACCCAGATGAATCCTTGCTGAGATTTCGTCCGTCATGTGACGGACATCTTCAAAGCAGGACAGCATACTTTATGATAATTCACAAAACACAAAGACAAGAAAGGTCTTGACGAACTAAAGGTCAGCAAGGATTCATCGGGGTCAGAGGGCAGTGCGCCGAGGACTTATTCGCACAAATCTACATTCACAGCTCCAAGTCAATCCCCCTACAGCCTCAGGTGAGGCCAACCTATGAGAATCCCTTCCACTCGCCTCTCTTAAGGAAATGAAAAGTACTCTAACACGAATTTATTAAGTGATTCTTCGAAAACCTGTTTTCCTAAATATGTATTTACAATATTTTCAAACAAGCCTTAATTTCAAAGCTGAATTATAAATAAAAACGGAGCAAGACGAACCTCAGATGTGTAGAAAATTTGCCCTGAAGCAGAATTAAATAAAAAAGTACTTAAGTGATGTCCATCCGCCAATAAAACACTAATTACCAATTGAAGACCAAATTGATCGGGAGAATGGACATAAATGTCTTGCAAATAATGAAATATAAGCAATGGGACAGAAAATCAGAGCAACTGGTATTGAAATAATGATCCATTCCCAAATGTGAAACTGGAAATTGTTCACAAAGCACCATTACGGATACAAATTAAACAGGGGCATGTGATCACCTCATCGCTTAGGATAAAAAAAAGAGAAAAAAGATCCTCGAAGCAATTACCAGCCTGAGTCAAAAGAAATTAATGAGATAAAGATTGAAGTAAGAAATAATTGGCAAAGAAATTGCCTAAATGGACTAAAAGGAAGCCGAGGATTGGAAAAAACATAGAAAAAGTGTGAATAATAATGGACTGCATATTCGACCCTGCCCATGTTTAAGGTATTTGACAGTATAAAAGTTGAATCTTTTTATTTAAATTTCAGATAAAAAACAGCATTTTACTACGTCCTAGAAAAAAAAAGCCTAACGCATAGTCGCCATTAGCACAACAATAATCTGGCCTTGAATATCATCTTGTTGAATTCTGATAAATGAGAAAAAATTCACCAACCATAGATGGCTCAAAAGCCTACCATCTTTATTATAGAATACTAGAGCCTGGATCACCTCCAAAATTTATATTCAAGCTCTGCATGGACCGGACACGTATATTAAAAATTTTATAAATTACAAATGAAAGAGATAGAATAAAGAATAGCTTAGACTGGAAAGCCCGACACTAATTATGAATAGCCTTTTGAAGCCCCATCCATTGTGACTCTTGTTAAAGAGGAGCTGACTAGTGAAAGCATTTACGCTCAAAAATAGGCAGCTCTGGATCCAACTAAAAATAAAGCCAATATTTGTGTACATGGTAAGCGTCGCATTATCAGTAAAAGTTGCTAGTTAAGCGTCTCTTGGTGAAGGTGACTGACCTTAACTATTGAAGGGTAATTCTGCCTCCAATTCAAGAAGCCTAAGAAAGGGGTATCGCTTGGGCATGCTTGACTTCCGCGCACCACGATTAGTTATCATATAAGATCTATGCACCCTATTTCGTTTGAGGTGATAAGGGACTGGTAGTTGAATTTTCCCACAATGATATGAGTAGAGCTGAAGTTTCCATTGAATTTCACAGAGCCCTGCTTTTCCAGAAGATATTCTCATCAAGCTGGACTGCAGTTTCGACCCAGCATAGGTCTTATCAATACCCCCAGCGGGAGTCGAACCGTGATAGTGCAGAGTACAATCTCGACACGTTAACCGTTGTGGGAAAATTTAACTACCAGTCCTTCATCAGCTCAAACGAAATAGAGTGAATATATCTCATATAACTGATTTACTGGTAGTCTCGAAACACTACTTATGAACGAAAAAATCAGCTATCATAACCAACATGCCGGAGGCATGTAATTTCAGCGGTCGTTACAATACGGCACGAAGCCACCTTCTAAGTGGGCTTTTCTCGAAAACCAGCATTTTTATATTTTGCTTGGTAAGGTTTATCTATTTAACGGAGTGAGATTGCCAATTTAATTCTTTCCTATATCCTGATTATTGAGCTAGGCCATAGGTTCCCCGACAAATTAATCTATGCTGCATCTCTTTGTTACATCAAGAAGGTCAAGCTGACACCCTTATTTTTTTCTACCATCCTACAATCGTGTCGCCGAGTTCAGCTAGCTAGTACAAGTGAAAAATGAATGCTTCTTCTCGAAATTGGCTTTACGTATTTAATAGTGACAATGTTTCGTCATGTCTGTGCTCTCTTGTTTGATCGTTAGTGGGTAGTCGTAATGAGAACAAAAGGCTCGATGGAGAAATTCTTTAAAAAAAAGTAAATTTGCAATTTTTTCATAAAGCAAAAAGGCTAACTGAGGAGGCTGGGCAGCAGGATGACAGACACCAGCGCCGAGTAGGCCCTATTTACCGGGAGACTCCCTGGACGGGCAAAAATGAACATGATTTGTTGAGTAAATTAATTTATCGTGTCGGCTCTATAAGTTATAGGCAAAGAAAAGTGCAGCGAGCAATACTTCTGCTCTAGTATCGCCAGCGGTATCTACAGCAAATGCTAGATGTAAAAGGAAAATTGCTCTACACTGCCTATGGAAGTAAGAATCCAAAATAAATTTAGGGCAAACAGATGGGCAAAAGTTCAAAATAAAGCTAAATGGCCTTTTCGAGTAGAACATTACTGTGTATGGGCTTATTAGTAGCAACACTAAAGACGTCTCTGAGGTGTTTACAAGAGGCCTAAGAGGTAACGGCCAAGGAAAACAAATCATCGGCCAATCGGGGCTGCATGAAGTAAGTGAGCTGAGGTTCCGGGATGTAAAGAAGCAACTAAGCTAACAAAAAGTATTTGTGCACACAACTATGAAAATTAGAAGGCCATCGTAAGCGATGAGGAAATCAACATTAATGTCGTCGCAGAGTAGGCTCACTAACTAGGGCCGGTGCGCTCAGCTTGCATCCCACCTTCCGCCGTTGGGCTACCCGAATTGCTAATGTTTGGTGGTTAAAGTCTGGACGCGTATATTTGTATGGACTGGCTGACGTTCTGGCCACACATTCTTGGCTGTATATCTGTCGGAGTGTCCTTGGTTGCCCGTCTCTTCGTTGATCCGTTTATCTGTACATCTCTAAGAGTGTATCTTGTACTTGCAAGCTAGTTAACTTGGATGATTTCTTCCTCGCCTTTTGGTTTTTTCGCCTGGAGTTTACAAGCCTCTAAAGGTGTCCAATTCGGATGCAAAATTTGCCGATTTGCCAGAAAACTCTTTTATGCAGGCAGATCTCGACTGGCAGCAGACAGTAGAACGGGAACTCAGCTGGTCGAATTAGAGTGTCACTTGCCTGAATGGAGAGTGAACGAGAAATTTGGTTCTCATTCAAAATACATGATCTTTATTGGAGAAAAAGAGGCAAGTGGAGTGAAGTGGAGAGGATAGAGGGAACTGAAGGGTGATGAACCTGCAACTTTTCGGAGGTATATTACAATAGGAGACTCTCACGGAGCCGATATGGGTCGAGGTCTAGCCCATAGAGAAATCGCGAATCAACTCCATACCCTTGACGGAGCAGCAGCAATTGGCACTGGCCGGTAAGTAAAGCTCCCTTACTGGCTCCCAGCTGTTCAGCATCGACGGCTGCCATCGTTCCACCAAAGAGATGGTGGAGTTGGTCTCGTCGCTCCATCCGCCCATTACGTAGATCTTGTCCTCTAGCACGGCCACGCAGAAATTGCTCCGTTGCCGGATCATCGAGGGCATGTTCTGCCATTGATTAGTCTCCGGATCGTAGCGTTCCACGGTGCGCAAGCGCTGGAGGCCGTCATTTCCGCCAATTGCAAAAAGATTGCTCTTGAAGGCGACCACACTGACGCCACTGCGAATATTCTGCATCGGAGCAACCAGGCTCCATTGGTTCACCTTTGGGTCGTACATCTCGACTGAGTCGTAAAAGTGGTGGCCATCGAACCCGCCGACCACGTAGATCCGGCCCTGAACAGCGTCAGCGCCGGCATCGCTGCGCACCTGCAACATGGCAGCGATGAAAGCCCAGTGGTTCTGATCGGGATCATAGCGCTCCACCGAGTTGAGCCGATGTCGACCATTGTGTCCGCCCAGAGCGTAGAGGGACTCATTCAACAAACAGGTGGATACGTAGTTGCGCTTCTCGTGCATCGGCGACAGGTACTTCCAGGCACAGGTTGTCAAGTCCAGCTTCTTCAGGGTCTGTGTGGGTCCCGTCGACACATAACCGCCTACGACGTAAATGCAGTTTTTGTAGAGCACACACCCGGAATACGCATGTCCCTCGTCGAGGGCGAGGTCTTCACGACGCCAAGTATCCGAGCGTGGATCGTAGATTTGGATCGCCCTGGACGGGCCGAAGTTCGGGTCATCCTGGTTGCCTTCCCAGCCGCCAACCACGAAGATAGACTCGTAGGGCAGACGGGACCGGTTGAAGTAGGCCTTCGCCTCCGTCTCGTCGCCTGAACTCGGCGCCACCATGCCGGTCGGACTCGAGCTCGCCCCGTCCAGACTGAACATGCTGAGCGTGAGGAGGGGGCTACACTTGTCCCAGTGCATCTGGACGTGGGGATTCGACGAAATCACCATCAGCTCGTCCTGCGTCAGCCGGCCCAGGCGGAGGCCATTTAAGAGGCTGGGCATCTCAGCGCCGCGAGTCTCTACGTCATGCTCGATCCAGCGCACAAGGATGGGGAAAAGTTGACTCTCCCGAGAGCATTGGAGACCGTCGTCACGCAGCAACTTTTGCAGATCCTGTGAGCTGATCTCGAGAAAGTTGTCGGAACTTTTGGCCGCCGCCAGAAAATGCGTCAAGAGGTAGCGCGATGTGATGGCCTGCAGAGCAGGCAGATGGGAGCTCAGCTCCTCTCCAATCCTCCAGTACTGCCAGGTGGTGTTGAGGTCCTGCTTGCCTTGAATCACCTCGAGACAGAAGTCAAGGAAACTGGGCACCTCAAAGTGCAGTCCAGCCTTGAGCATCAAGTGGACGTTGACCGGAGAAACGACCGAGGGCAACTTCCGCTGCAACACCTCGGGTGTGGAGTGGATGAAAGAGAGGACGGCCTCGAGACCTGTCACATCCTCGTAGGCAATCTGCAACGGCTGCGGTTCCAGGTCGCAGAGGCTGCGGGCTCGAGCTCGACGTGACAGTCGTCTGGAGTGCTCTTGATCCTCCTTTTTTTGCGATCTCTCCAATTCCCCGCGTCGCAGTTGAATTAGCTCCCGTTTGAAATAGCTGCTCGCTCGGGCCAACTTATATCCGCTCACCTGGTGCTCGTGGCCACCGTTGATCACAATCGTCCGGTCGAGCACATAGTCTGGAAAGGAATTAATGAAGGTGCAGCTATGCTGCTGCATGAATGTTCAATTGGCAAAAGCCTTATCAGCAGACAATGCATACGGGACGCAAGTGGAGGCATAAGAAGGCCACCCCAAATTCAGCTCGCCAGCGCATATTTTGTCCTGCATTTGAATCATGTGAGCAGTATTGATCGGGTGTAAAAAGACCCCGGCGCGGCATGACTGTCTCTTCTGTGATTGGCTCATCAGCCCCGCTGGCCACCTCGGCTTGAACGCCTGGGTCGTCGGTGTGCCCGGGCTCGGCTAGGCTCGACTCAGCTCGATCTATTACACCAGAAATAATAGCATTTCTCGCAAAGAAACCGCAATTTAAATGTGACGCCACGGAAAATTACATCATTTAGAGGGACTTTCAGTTCGAATGAAAGTGCATAAAGAAGAGATTCGTTGGTCGATCTCACCAGATAAGGACGAATGAAACATGTTGTACTGCAGCCGTTTGGCTTTTATACGATGTTCATGTTGACGCAGTCCACGAGACTTCCTCTTCTTATCTACAAATTACATTAGGCCTGTGTCTTTGTTGCATTCAGTATATACTACTACTATTACAATTAGCCACTACTTAATTACATAATTATATATATATATATATATGTATGTATTGATGAAGATTACTGGATTATCTTTAAAAGTTCCATATTTGTGTATAGTTAGGTCTTGATGTATTCGAAATGAATAGCTGTAGGCCTTGGTGAGCTCACTTCACTTTCGAAGAAAGGCGTATTATGAAGAGATTCAGAGGTTGCTCTAATCAGGGAAAGATGGCGGATCCCTCTTAGCCAGGTGTCACTGTAACAAAGGCAATAACTTTATATTATGATTAAAATGTGCTGAGTTTTCGCCCGTTATTTGTCTCAGATCAAGAAGGCATATTCGATTTAAGAAAACGTAAAAATAGACTAAATCAGGCAAAAAGCTGGCCTGCCATAAACTCATTCAAGTCATTTGCATCAAGTCATTTTTGTCATCCCAATGTGACATACCGTGAGTTGGTCTGTTATTTCACGCTCATCTTACATGCATGAAAATGGATGCAACTGATTCATGATAAGGAAGTGGCGGTGATCGTAGCTTCTTCTTTGCATGATGAATAAACCAGCATTTAAGCCTGTAATGTTGACGCATATTTAGGCGTGTGGTATTTTATATATTATATACATTAAATGGTAAAATCCTGTAAGGTATGATAACCCTAACCAAACTATAGGCTGCTACAGTCTTCCCTTCTCGCCCAGCGATTATTCCTGCTCTCTCTCTATATATATATATATACATATATATATCCCTCAAAGCCTAACAGCCATAAATAGGTCGCATTCATTCTCCTACACACGATGTCTATTACATGAGAGACGAAATCTCATTCCAGGCTCTTTGGAGTCGCAGGACGGTGAGCCGAGGATTTCTTGACACAATCCGACAGCCTTTAGTGCAAAGCAAGCCTCCTTCGGTTTTCGGTGCAGCCAATTCACGATACTTTTCCAACCAACTTTTTATCCGAACTGAAAAGTCGAGTCACACTAAATCTATTTCGACTCCGGTGAAAATGTGCTTAGATCTTGTCCACCATATGATGGACATCATCAGAGTAAAGTTTCATTTACATACTCAATTTACGCTATCGAATCAATAAAATTGACCTCCTTATCTCTACATGCTGTATATATACTTTAAAATAAAACTTGTTGTCTGGTATGAACCGATTTGGTAAGTTCATGTCATATGCCAATTCAGGAGCATGTGTGCCCATGTGCGTACGAAAGCATTGGATAATGACCCTTTTAGCCATTAATCCGATTACATAATACCCGACACACATCTGGACAAGTTAATGAAATTTCCCGTGTAACTTTAGGCTCATATAAAGTATAAATTCACTTAGAACCATGACCAACAAAATATTAGCCGAGTCAACTTTTTTCTGGGAGACTCTACAACCCCTCTATCTATATTTCTATGAAGTTAGCAAATGTATTTGTTATTTATGGCTGCGCAGACCTTAAAATCTCTTCACAACACATTCATTTTATATATAAGGGAACTAAACAATTGCAGACTGCATTATGTGTTAATCTACTTTTTATTTTGCAGTAAAATTTGGTCGGAAAGAATTCTTCAATTGGCCCCACTGAAAACAGAGGAGGAATGCCGTGCAGTGGAGGCTGCTAAATTGTGCGAAAAGTTAACCTTAGATAAAGATCTGTAAAAGGAATATGCTGCAATCATTTCCATTTCTTTTCATGAATTAGCTTAACTTATCAGCGAGCATGTAGCGCAGGCATTAAGTAACTTTTGTAAATACGAAGAAAAACTGGCTTTAGATTGATCTCCTGAGATAACATTATTGAGGAGACTTTCATTTCGTGTGAAAGAGCATGAAGAAGAGATTCTTAGGTTGATTTCACCAAAAGACAACAGCTGAGTCCCATTGTACTGCAGCTGTCTGGCTCTCGTACCACGTTTAGGTTGACGCCGTCCACGAAACCATAGCTGCTTACGGACCTATGTAGCCCTAGTCACGACTTTTTCTTGGGTCATTTAAGCCTTGATAATCAGAGCCTGACATTATACTTTGTTAATCACCCTGATTTAGGGCCGAAATTGCGTATAGATATTAATAAGCATACACACGCACGCACGCACACACCCAAGCAAAAGCAGCTTGACCAATGTGAAAGGTAATTAGCCAAACCGCAATTAAGTCAAAGATACGAAGAAAAGCTGGGTTTCGAAGATTGCCTTGGTGACATGACTTTTCATTTCTATGGGAAAGTTGGTTGGAAGGAATTTGTGATGTGGCCGCATCAAAAACCGAAGGAGGCTTGCCGCGTAGGGAAGACTGTTGAGTTGTGCGAAGAAGTATTCGGCTCACCGTCCTGCGACTTCGATGGAACTCTGCTAAGCTTTAATTCGTACCGTGACATCTCCGAAACTTGGAACTTATCGGTAAGGAACTCTTACGACTTTATAAAGTAAGTTGATGATCAGACGATAGAAAGAGGAGATTTGCTGGTAAGTCTCGAAGTAGTGTCTAAGTTCATTAGCATTCCGATAAACGAGGTAATGAAGACATTCGAATTAACTCTAGTTCAACACTGAAATAATAGCAGGTAAAAAGTTAGGTAATTCTCCAATCATTCGATTAGTCAATTTTGCAAGGTATAATGCATATTTTACTTTAAATGGTAAGTTGCATGAGCAAACACGGGGCTTGACTATGGTTTCTTGTTTAGCCCCAATTTTAGCTAATAATTACAAATCGCAATTAGAAGTTCGTGTGTTTTAAGAGGCCCTCATAGTTCCCAAGTTATTAGTTCGTTAGATGAACGATTATTTGCTGCTTGCTAACAAGACAAAAATATGAGAGGTATTTTTCGCATTTAAGTATTATTTCGAGAATACATCTCATATGAGAGGTATTCACCCTATTTCGTTTAAGGTGGTGAAGGACTGGTAGTAGAATTTGCCCACAATGATATAAGTAGAGCTGATGTTTCCATTGAGTTTCACATTGCCTTGTTTTCCCAAAATTTTTTCTCATCCAGACAGAAGTTGACGGCAGTTTCGACCTCGCATCGGTCTTATCAACACCTCCAGCGGAAATCGAACCGTGACAGTGCACAATAGGAGCTTGATACGTTAACCACTTGACCACATGAGCTGCACTTTCTCTAACATTATGGACCTCGTTTAAGCCCTCATCTGCCCAAAATTGAGACTGAGTGGGGCTATTTCATCACCTTAAACGAATTAGGTTGAAAACATGTTATATTACTGATCTACTGTTAGTCTCGAAACTCTACTCCAATACGAAGACAAAAATAGTTTAGGGGAATTCCTTGGGCTAATAAATAAGATAGATGCCATTATTAAGTTTATCATGGAGTTATAAAAGGAAAATAAATTGCTTTTTGTGGATGTATTAGTGAACAAAGGTGATAAATTATGTAGAGACGTATATAGGAAACCCATACACTCGGGTTTCATTATTAATTTCTTCCTCAACTATACATATAGAGTAAAAATAGGATTTATGAAGTCTAAGATAATAAGGAGTCTGCCTCTAGCAGATGTAAACCACAGGGACCAGGAGATCCCTAGATTGAGGCATATACTTGTTAAAAATAATTACCTTTTAGGATTAGTAGACAATCACATATCAATTTTCGTTAACAAGATGAGAGGAGTTTGCTATCTGGGGCAATAGACCATTGGACCATTTTACTCGTCTCGTGGACTGCATCAACCTGAACGGCGTATTAAAGCCAAACGGCTACAGTACGACGAGAATCAGCAGTGAAATCGACCTTCAAATCTCTTTTTCGTGCACTTTCAAGCGAAATAAAAGTCTCCGTAACATTGAAATAACCAGCAGAATCATGAGATGTAAGAACTGACTAGGCTCGCAGCAGGTCACCCCTACTTTTGGTCAAGTATGCTGATGCTCTTTTTAACGAAGTATGCTTTCTCACGCTGATAATGTTCATCATCGTAGGACAGACGGAAGCTCAGCAATGGATCATCAGCCTCGCAAGACGATGCACAGAGGAATTATTCGCAAAATACTATTTCACGAATCCTTTCCAACCAAATTTCTGCTTTATGAATGAAAAGTAGTCACACTACATTGCTACGGAGATATTAGAAACCCATCGAATTCCACATATCCTTGGTATTTTTAACTTTTTCGTCCTGAGGCCCAGAAATTAGGGTGCTAATAGCCTCGTGAGGACTCTGAATGCCAAACTAAGACATGCCTGAGAGGAGGAACGTTAAGTGATGAGACAATCTCTATAAATAAGAGCCGTCGTGTACTTTAAAATTGCAATTCTGCTCATGCTCTGATTCAGGATCAAATGACCCTCCCTGACCCCCGTAACTGTGAGGTAATGATAAAGTTGTCAGCTATCGCTGATGACTTGGGTTCAACTCACCTTGGGGGGTGGGTTGTTGAGATCCGGGCGAGGTCGGAAATTGAGTCAACTTGGACTGATGAGCACCAACGCTGTCTGAAACGACGCTTCTGGTCGGATGATGCGTATCACAATTTTGAGGAGCACCACTCGATGCCTATCAAGTAAGTTGCCTCGTAGATGTAGTCATGAGCTTTTGCGAGGCCCTAAAGCAAAGTCTGGAGTTGACTCTATGTTTTCATAGCCAAATATCGGGTGCCGCATCAACTTCTTTTGATATGATCTCTTCCATTTTCAACTTGTACATAAACTAGGCTCATTGTGGACGCATTTACGAGCTGCACTTTCTCGAACATACTGGACCTCGTTTAAGCTCTCATCTGCCCAAACTTGAAACTGAGTGGGGCTATTTCACAGGACGTTCTTAGCTAAGATGGCTGACGTATGGGTGATTTGTTGACATGCTTCACGGAATACGAAGGAAGTTACTCGACATTGTGAGCATACAAATCCTAATAACTCCTTGTCCGGCGGCAGGTGAAACCTTAGTCAGAAATTGTCAAGTAGTTTAGATTTAAGTCTTGCTGATAATCAGTCAAGAAGAGAGGAAAGACAAGATAAAAGGTTACTCGTTAGCAAACACATGTTTTTCGTTTATAACCAGACTATACTATACATATGAGAGGCATCCGTCAAATTTGGTTTAAAAGTGATTTTGGACTTCTAGTTGATTTTCCCCACAATGATATGCATAGGTCTTATGTTTCCACTGAATTTCACATGGCCTTGTTTCCCAAAAGAAATTATCATCCAGACGAAACTTTCGTTCTCGCTTAGATTGCAGCGGGACTCGAAACTGGGTCGTGTTAGTGCAATGTTGCTATAGACACTTTAACCACTACGCCACACTATTAAGAGTTCCCATGGATCACAGGGCCGAGTTAAATTTCAGGGAGTCCTGGGCCTTTCTTATAACACATTTCTGTGGTGAGATTGCCGATGAAGCAAAGTTGTATTTGCTATTGTAATCAACTAAATTGCTTCATCACCTTAGAACAGTGATTCCTAAACTGAGCGCCGCAGCTTCTTTGCAGGGGCCCCGCGAAATATTGTAAAAGCTTCATTAATTATTAAATATTAATGTAATGTTAATAAAGTAAAAAAAGATAATGTAGATACATAAGTTTTATTTTTTTAATCTCTTACTTACGAATAGTCATACTTAGGGTAGGGCGCCATGGAAAATTTTTTTAATTGAAAAAGGTCGCTGCGACTAGGAAGAGTTTGGGAACCACTGCCTTAAAACACACGTTTGCCTCATCGAAACCCGACTACAAGTGAGTCTGAGAAGAGTTCAGCCTGCTCACTGGCATCCATAACTGTGCAGGGGAACGATACCTTGTTACCACAATGCGCACGACCGGGTTTTGAATCGTGTTAGGCTTGTTGGGAGAACCTGTTGGGAGGTAAGGCTAAGGGACGTTCACAGAAATCGTGAGGCCTACTCGTTTACTAAGAGGAAAAATTCCTTTTTCAGGCGTCATATCATTCACCTTAACAGATTAAGTGTGACTAAAAGAAGCTATGAAAACCAAGATGGTGGGACCTTTTGTATGGTTGCAATCTCCTTTCGTAGTATTGAAGTTGTTTCACCTTGTTTTCGCAACTCGGTCATATTGGTACCTAGTCCGGAGTCCATAGTATGCATGATCATTTCCAGAAATTTCGCCGGCTTCGTAGTCGGAATCGTCAGTGGGCCTTGCCATTCTCAGAACCGAGCTACAACTCGTCAAAGAGACAAGTGAAGTTAGCATGAGATGCCTAAGTGGCCCAAATTGTACAATAAGAAGTAAGTCGGTTTGAAGCCGGCCACCTTTCTTGTTTTCGTGCTTTTGGTGAATCGTCGTTAAGCATGGTGTCCTGCTCCGTCACATGACAGACCAAAGCTCAGCAAGGGTTTTTCCGGGTCGCAGGACGGTGCGCCGACGACCTATCCACACAAATCTACAACCACAGCTCCAAGGAAACCTCCCTACAGCCTCCGGTGGAATCAACTTACAAATCCCTTCCACTCGCCTCTTCAAACGGAATGAAAGGTATTCCAACACATTTGGCTAATTGTCCGCCAAACAATTGTGGTATCTCTCCTTCTGTCTTGGGCTATCACCAATCCTATATCCTTGTATCACCCTTTAACTATTACAATTCCTTATTTAAATGTGGTATGGTGTGTCCTGTTTAGCGGATTTAATGAGAACTCTCCTTACCCCACACTGGCTGTCTCATTCCCTCACCCCGAAATCCTCTTCCCATAGGTCTTATCAGAGTCTTCATCTTGACCCGTAGGATCCGCCCCCTACTTTCCTGGTTCAGGTATTTCACGTGAGCCATGCCACCCAATCTGTACTACTCGAAGCGCTATTTCCCAGAGTCCATGAAGCAAAGGCTGGAGCATAAGAATTACTCGGGCTCTTTAACCTCAAGTTAGTCTCCCATTCAGCTTGGGAAGCCTGATTTTAGGGGCCCACTCAGCGAGGCGGCAGTAGGCATGCCATCAAAGATCTAAGACAGTGTGAGAAATAACGCTTCGGGGAATACAGATATAGTGGCAGGAGTCGATGGGAATACCTGAACCAGGAAGTTAGGAGGCGGATCCTACGGAGCAAGAGGGAGACTCTGATAGGACCTATGGGAAGAGGGTTGCAGGGTGAGGGAGTGAGAAAGCCAGTATGGAGTTTGGAGACGCCCCATGAACTCCGCTAAAAAAAGGCATAGCATGCCATATTTAAATAAGAAATTGTGATAGTGAAGGCGTGATACGAGGATATAGAATTGGTGAATAGCCCAGGGCAGAACTAGAGGTACCACAATTGTTTAGCAGACAAATGGTCAAAGGACCGGCTTCACTTGTCTCTGACGAATTATGGTTTGGTTCTAAGAATGGGAAAGCTTACTGACGATTCCGGCAAAATGTCTGGGAGTGTACCACCTCCAAGGTCCGACTCTGGAAATTATCATGCATACTATGGACTCTGGACTAGATGTGTTCCTCTAGGTCTTTCTACAAATATGACCAAGGTGCGAAAACAAGGTCAAACAGCTTCTAAGGATGACTAAGTTTGTATCCATATCCAGACTGGACGATACCTTCTACTTTGCCTCAGGACTCGAATCGTAGATGTACGGGTTAAAAGACAAATACTAGCTCTTCGACATAAAGTATGTACAATTTCATACTGGGTCGTGCAGGAGGTTTGATTCTACTTCCTCATCTGGTCAGTAGGAGAAAACGTATAGGGACTAACAGGCCTCAGGAGGTCCAAAGCTCTCTCTTTCAGGACTAGTTTAAGATTTATTTTTGGAAGCTGAAGGGAGCCGCGAACTGAATCCAGCGCACGATCACTCGCAACGTTGTCAGTCCTATGTGGGCATGGCACTTGTTAATTAGCACGGCTTGATGTCCTGCCTTAATTTTTTCCCAGCATAAATGAAAATGTTTCTGGTTGCTTAGTTTCTCGTTAGAAGAAAAGCAGACTGCCAACTCGGAAATCGGCCCATTTGTTACGCAGCAATCAGCATACTGAACTAGTTAAAAGGTGTATAGGTCAGGTATGCACTCAGGATTAGCCTAGACTAAGCTGGATTAGCCATCGTAATTCTAGATTATAGCCTAACCTTTCTAGAGGTTAATTCCTCCATCGGAGGATTGGGTGTGACCTGATTGAGGAGAGTGGACAATCCACTCATCATATATGCAAGGCAGAATCCGATCCTTGTGAAACCCGTGAAACTTTGTCCAACTGACTATCTGAAGTTATAAATGGATAGAATGGCTGAATATTGCGATGTGAGGCAAGTGATTACAATCACCAGATGCCTATTACCCAATGAACCACTTCATTCTTGAACAAAAACTTGAAAAGGTATGAAGACCAAGATGATTGGGTCTTTTGTGTGATCGCAGTTTCCTTTCGCTGTATAAAAGTTGTTTGACCTTATTTTCGCAACTTGGTCAAAATGTTAAGAAGACTTAGAGGAACGCACCTAGTCCGGAGTGCATTGTGTGCATGATCATTTCCAAAGCCGGACCATGAACGTGGTACTTTCCCAGACGTTTCGCCGGCATTGTAGTCGGCATCCAGTTCAACATTGAACCTAATCAAAGCAAGCAGTACCACTATATTTGTGGGTTTGCACACAAGAGACTAGGGCATGGCAAGTCATATACTTGGTATTAGGGATAGATTCGTATTAAAGTAGGGTTTCGAGACTACCAGTAACTCAGTGTAATGAGATGTATTCACCCTAT